AAAAAAAAAAAACCCTATAGCCATGAAGCAGTCTTCCCCATTCCTTCATCCCTCCCAGCCCTTGGGGACCACTAACCGCCTTTCTGTGTCTATGGATGTGCCTGTTCTGGACGTCATACAAGTGGAATCATACACCATGGAGCTGGCATTTGTGTCTGGCTACTTTCACTGACCGTGTTTTCAAGGGTTGCAATATGTGATTCCCTGCTTTCTGTGCCCCCTAAGCCCACCCCATTCAAGTCTTTGTCCCCACCTTCTTGCTGATAACTCCAGAGGTCCTTTCTCCCCAAATACCTGGGCCAAGGTTTGAGGATACTCAGCTTTTTCTTTTTCTCTATCTTGTTGGCCATGTTCCTCAAATTCTTCATTCCCAAGATCTTGGGCCCGAGCATCTCCAAGGACGACCCCGTCTTGGCCAGGGGGCCCTGGTCCGGCATCTCCATGGTCTCTTGAGATTCTCTGTTAGGCTTTTGGGACCTCCTGGCCTCCATCAATGAGATGGGGCTCGGCAAGATGGGTGACTGAACCTCCTCCCACGTCGTTGCGGGCAGAGGGATGGGTTCCTGGTAGACTGTCTCCTTCCGTGGGCTTCTGGGAGCACGCTTGGAGCGGAGGCGCACTTTGGAAGGACCCCTCTGGTCTGAGGGCAGCTTCTTTGCCTCTACCTCTGCCGGTGGATGCACGGTCTCCTCCACCCGTGGGCCCGCGCTCCCCTTCGCACAGGGGCCCAACTGGGACCGCTCTCTGAACACCACGGGTGTCCCCTCCAACATGACCACCTCTCTGGGGTTGAGAGACTCTGAGCCCATTGTTGACGTGGCAGACACCTGGGGGTTCAAGAACCAGGGTGGCAGGCTGAGCGGTCTTGATCTCAAGGGCTCCTCCTTGGAATTGGCCAGGATCATCATCTTGGTGATGGTGAGCTCCTCCACAGAGAGGGGCCTTCTTTGCTTCTGTGAGGCTCCCTCCACGGCTAGCTCCTTGATCTTGACCCACTTCTTCAGCTGCCCCATTACCCTGGACTTGAGGCTGGGCATGTCCACAAATTTCTCCTCCTTCATGCTGAGGACCTTGTCCTCCAGCTTGCCCTTGCCCTTCAAGCCATCCAGGGTGATCTCCTGGGCTTTGCTGATCTTGACCTCTTTCATCTCTTTCTTGGTGGTGTTGAAGGGCAGCTCCAGGGACATTTTCTGGGCCCGCACCTCCATGACCTCCATCTCCTGGGTGCCCAACAGCATCAATGGCTCTGTCTTCCCCTCAGGCTGGCTTCTCTCAAGCACATTCCCAACACAACTTCCCGCAGACAACACGGCCAAACTGGCAGGGTCTGAAGTCATCTGGCACTGGGTGGCGGAGCTCAGAGCCTTCTGGGATGGGGTAGGTAGGAACAGAGATTTCTGCTTTGGGACAAGATGAGACATGGTCTTCTTGGGAGTATCCGGTAGACATAGGGTCTTCCTGGATGGGGCAGGTATGGCCGGGATCTTCTGGAGAGCAGCGGGTCCAGCTGGGGCCTTCTGAAATGGAGCACATTCAGCTGAGACCTTCTGGGACTGGTCAAGGGTGAATGCAGCCTTCCAAGAGGTAGCAGGGACAGAGGGGGTCTTCTGGGAGGGCGGAGGCCATGGCCTCTGCATAGAGCCCAGGGCCCTGGCCTTTTTGCCCTGCCTGGGAACAAGGGAGTAGGGGGTAGGCAGGTAGAGGTTGGGAGGGTAGGTAGCCTGGTGGAAGGAGCTAGAAGGCAGGCAGCTAGATTCAGCATTCATCAGGGCTCCCAGATCCTGTTGCTGATCATCAGAGACCAGCAAGGACATGTCAGGTCTGTTCAAGACACAATGTGAGTGGGTCCCAACTAAACCATCAAAGACCACTGCTCTATTACATTCAAGTGAGCAACCCTGGAGATGCAGGGAGGTGAGGGGAAGGATGGTCAGGACCAGGGGAGCCTCTCAGACCCAGGCCAGGCCCCCAGCCCCTCCTCCCTCAGATCCAGGCCCCCCAGCCCTCCTCCCTCAGATCTACGAGTTGGGCTCCTGGCCCCCAGCCTATAGATGCCTTGGGAGTAGACAGATCTTGGCTGATGGTGCTGGAAAAGATGCTGAAGATGGTCCGGATGGTGATGCTGGGCTTCCCTGGGAGGGAAGGAAGCAGCCTGAGCTCTCAGGGGAAAGGCCAGGGCCTTGAGGCCCGTTCTTGGCGGCAGAGGGAGGGGTGTGCTCACCAGAAACGGAGATTTTGGTCTGAGAGCTGCGAAGGCAGGGATCTGGGTGGGATCTACAGGCACAATTCGGTGAGACATGGCTAGCATCCCCATGACCCAACCCCACCGGCAACCTGGCCCCAAGCCTACTTTTTTTCTGTGGCTCTCTTCCGAGTGTCAGGATGCTCCAGCTTCGACAAGATGAGAGGCAAGGAGTTGCCCATAGCCTGGGACTTGAATCTGGCCTTCGGAGTCTGGCAGGGGGGACGGGGGAGAGAGGGCGGGCGGTGAGGAGGTGCAGCCCCTCGGGCCCTCAGACCCCCGCCTGCCGGGATCTGCTCACCTTGGCCTTCCTCTGTTTCTGAGATGTCAGCATCTTGTAAGGAAAGGTGCGATCAGCAATCATAACTAAAAAGAGGGGGGGAGACCTGTGTCAGGGTGTCCCTGATGGGGAGGGCAGTGGGAGAGGCTGAGAGGAGCCTTGTGGGGGGCTTGGCCAGGGACAGGAGGGAAGAACCAAGGACGCCAGTGCTGGATGCTCCGCCCACGCCTGGTGCAGGAGAAGCTGAGATGCAGCCAACCCAGTGGACACCTGAGCCTGCTCACCTGGGCGTCTGGTGCGGGGCTGGTCCTGCGGACCAAGAGGGGACAGTCAGGAGGGGCAACCTCTTCCTGGCTTCCACACCTCCGTCAGTACCCAACCTAAGACTCCAGGCCCCCAGCCCCTCCTCCCTCAGGCCCAGGAGTCCAGGCCCCAGCCCCTCCTCCCTCAGGCTAGCTGACCCAGTCCCCAGCCCCTCCTCCCTCAGGCCCGGGAGACCAGGCCCCCAACCCCTCCTCCCTCACACCCAGGAGTCCAGGCCTCCAGCCCCTCCTCCCTCAGATCAGCTGACCCAGCCTCTAGCCCCATTCCTGGGGACCCTGGACTCCAGGCTCTTGGTCCTGGCTCCCTTTGGAATTTAGAACCATAACTGCCCCCTGGGGTCTGTGTGGTCATGGTCCCACCTGGAGGTGCCAGGTGGAGGCAGGAGGTGCCACCTGGGCCAGGTCCAAGAGGGGTGTGTTCAGGGTCCTGGGGGCCCAGTGGGTGGCCGGCTCTTGGAGCAGGTTGATGAGACTGACCCAGCGGTCAAACAGAAACGCAATCTCCCTGTCAGGGGCATCCAGTTCCAGGTAGTAGTTGCGGCCTGTGACCAAGCGAAGCTTCAGGCACCAGGTGGACAGGTTGTGGACGTAGAGGTGGACCAGGTTCAGAGGGATCATCCTGGGGGAAGGCAGGAGAGGGAGGAGGTGAGCAGGAGATTGGGGAGGTAAAGCCGGAGATGGCGGCGGAGCGGGGGTCTGAGGGATGGAGGCACCTGGTGAGGACCAGGTTGGAGCAGTCCCTCCTCTCAGAGGGCCGCGCTACGAGCAGAAGGTCCGGCAGCACCGGCTCAGGCAGGGAGGCGGCCACACCCATGGTCAGACGGTTGGTTTTGTGGTGCACGTATACTGGGGCGCCTCGGCTGGTCACCTGGGGGGCCAGGGAGAGGGGCTGAGACCACCCCTCCCTTCGATGCTCCTGAGGCACCTCCACACCAAGCTCCGAAACCCGGAGCCCCCAGCTGCCCCAGCCCTCCCAGCCCAGGGGTTGTCACTCTGCCCCTCTCCACCCCCAAGGCTCAGGGAGCTGGGAACCTGGACAAAGTTACTCTCGAACATGGGCAGCGGGTGGAGGGGCAGGTACTCGGCCTGCTGGAGGGTCTTCTGCAGCTGGCCCAAAATGGGGACCCACTTCGGAGGGCCTGGCAGTGGGTCCGTGCGCCTGATGTTCCAAAGCCAGTTCATGGCGGCTGCAGAAATGGGGTCAACCGGGGCATGGAGTCAGGGACCCTGCACCCTCCAGCCCACGGGCCCTGGCCCCAAGCTCAGCGGTTCCAGCCAGTGGAGCTTCCCTGGGCTTGGCCATGGCCCTGCGGGGTGGTCTGCCTGGCCTGGGGGAGGAGCCTTCCGTGGAGGGGCTTTGTGACCTCATCGGACACTGGTAGGACTCTTCCTAGGAACCCCCCTGGGGCCAAGGGCTCCTTTCTCGCCTGGAGTCCTGAGGGCTGGGGGTGGAGGGTGAACCAGAAGGCCCCTCCCCAGACTCATACTGGTGACAAGACAGGGCCCCCTGGGAGGGTCTGTCTGGGATGCTGCAGATGGATAGTTAACCAAAGGGTTTCTGACTTAAGGAGTCCTGAATACAGCCCCTGTTCACGACTGACCCTTCTCTAGATGCTGAGTAATACCCATACCCCCACAGAGCCTCAGTTTCCCCATATCAAATGCATTTGTGTCCATGGTCACAGCTGCTGTATGTTGAGTTGTAAAGAAAGGAACACACCCTTTGCAATGAGCCAGGCCTCTGGCAGAATCACAATTGTGTCTCTCTAGCTGTGTAACCTTGAACCCCAGTCTCAATTTCTCTTACCTGTAAATGGGGTGTACTGGAGGATCCAGGGGATCATGTGAGTAAGACCCTACACTTAAGGCACAGACCAGAGCAGGTGCCCAGTGAATGGTTCTTCTTGTCCCTTTCTGAGAGCTTATTTTTGAGGGGGTTTGGGGGGACTGGTATGCTGTTAACCTAAAAATAGTGTTCATTATTTTTTGACAATGTCATGCAAAATACATGGGCACTGTAGAAATTCTGGAGAGTAACTACAAGCACAAATAATAAAAGTCACACACAATCCCACCCCACACCTTCTACCCGGAGGTGGCTATTGTCAATATTTTGGTATATTTTGTCTAGAATTTAAAAAAAAAAGTTTTTATTGATTTTAGAGAGAGGGAGACAGAGAAACATCGATGAAAGAGCAACATCATACATAGGCTGCTCCCTGCAATCCTCCTACTGGGGATCAAGTTCAAAACCCAGACATGTGCCCTGACCTGGAATCAAACTGGCGAACTTTTGGTGCATGGGGCCGACGCTCAACCAACTAAGCCACACTGGTCAGGGGCTTCCATTAAATATTTATTGAATGCCTTTGAAGTGCTGGGCACGAGGTGAGGCTCAGACCCAGCCCCTCAGGGTTCAGGGTCTCAGACACCAATGGTCTCTCCTCCACGGCCTTGACCACTCAGAGTCCCTCCCTCTTCCTGCCCCAGGGGCCCCATCGTCTAGCCCCCAGCCATCAGCCCCCATAGAAACAGCCTTCGAATGGATGTGTATGACAAATTTAATTCCCCCTTCTCCATCTCACAGAGGTTTCTCACGTTTTTGTACAAAAACCCAAGCCTCCTTTCCCTCCCTCCCCACCCCAACACAAAAAAATAATAGTTT